TTTTAGTTAACGATTTTTTACAATTCAACGGTACATCCCAATTTGCAGCAGTGGAAAGACCTCATCCATATCTACCTGCAGAAAAAAATTCATACCGATCTGACGTTTGGTGTTCGAGATTCCGCCTTATTACCTTTGTTACTAGCGTAACATAGGTATTAGAATCAATTTTCACACGTCCTGCCGTCTGCGCCCGATAGCCATCCACACAAACTATCATTCTCAATCGATAGAACTCGGCGCGATCTGGCTCGACAGTTTAATTACGACATCGTATGATACCTGCAATAATAAATCAAGAATATGGTTGATACGTGCATGTCGATTAACCCCTGTTTTTTTTTTTTTTTTTTTTTTTTTTTTTCAGTCAGAAGAAGGCTTTATGTTTAGTTTGGGCGTTATGATGAGAAGAAGAAATCGTACGCAAAATCGTGGAATGTAGGGGAGAATAGTCCATAATGCACCCCTGGGGTAAAATGGCCCCGTGCAGTTTTTCGATGCTTATCCATTACTAATTCTAGAAATATCATGTGCCAGAATGTTAGTTCAAGCACTGAACTAGCAATGTTGATTTTTAAATTCATGAATTGACAATCGGAAAACTATGAAAAACAGCGCAGGGCCATTTTTTCGCCAGGGGTGCGTTTTGAACCATCCTACCCTACGTATTCCAATAGACCTTTTCGATGCTGAATCGTCTTTCTCTATCTATCACACATGTATGAATCGACGGTGTATTTTCCCACTAATGTGTTTCCCTCTTGCTCGCACTAGTTGGATTTAAATTGTACAGTAGTGTGCGCCGATTAGACGTCGAGAAGCTCTATAAGACCAGTCAGATGTTGTCCCTTCATATTTGTGCACGGCCGATGAGATCAACCCAAATAAAAGCCTCAATAATCTGCTGGAAAATGAGGAAAATTTACCAAAATTTTACACAGTCTAGTAGTAGTACCAATTGACCAAGAAAATCCAATCGTTAGAACTCTGGTATTTTTTCCTTGAAAAAGTGCGAAAAAACTGAAACAACATGAAGTAAATCGCACTTTTTGCGATTAATGAGTAAAGTAAAATCAAATTTGGGTTGATCTCGTTGGCCGTGTGCAGAGAGTTTTTCCACCTGTCTGCACACGTTATTTCTAAACAATCCAAATTTAAGTAAGATCTACTCATTTCCATTAGAATTAGAGCTAAACAATATAGAGCGAACTAGATTGTAGCTGACAAGACAGTTCGACAGAAGATGATGTTAGCTTTATAGTCGCTATATTCATAGCATGCCGGATAGAATCTCGCGAACCAATTGAGCTGTCAAATATCTGTTTGACCAATTGAGCTGTCAAACACGACCAACAACAGAAAAGAGCACATCAGCTATTGCGAACAAAACTTTCGGAACCCGTTTTCTCGTGGCTTAAGGCTCGCCTACGCAAACTAACACCATCTTTGGGGAAAATTTCCTCTATGCGATGAAGCCAGTAATTTGCGTTCGATTGGCGAGGAAAAAATAATCAACGTTTTGTTTATAAAACTTGATAGTACCATTTCAATTGTTGGTCTACAATATATTGAATTTTTTCCGCTTTTTGATAGATTGAAATTATATCCGCCAGACTATAAATATAGCGACTATAATTAGCTTGCGCCTGAATCAACAAACTGAATGGGAAATTCAATTGCATTCGGGTTATTCGCGAAAGAGAGAATCGGGTTGATTGATTATTTAATTTTATTGTTTCGTCAAATATTATTGCAATATAATAAGATTGTATATAATAAGATTGTGCTTAAAGTATGTAGAGCGCAATAAAGCAGATAAAGTATAAAGTCATACAGCTCCATCTGTATGCCAAGAAGAAGAAAGTGATTTATATATACTTTGCACTACGTAAAACTCATATCAGCTCCTCATAGATAAGCCACAATTATATCTTAAAATTATTGTCATGTTAGAAAATTAACGTGAGGACATAAATCAATTGATTATTGAATAATAATTGCTGTTCAATTGAGCAGTGCAGAAACTGAGACCAGTAAAAATAAAAATATCCTCTAAGGCCTCGTATATCTATGGATAATATCAAAAACGAGATTATACTGTGTAACAAAGGTTCTATACACCTGCCCGGTGGATCAATTTGGGTTTTTCATAGAAATTTGGTTTTTCTATTCTTCCAAATTGCATTTCGGTTCATATTTTTGAAACATAAGCTTATATTTTATTGAGTGGACCTTGTTGAATCCATACGTGAAGGTTAAACCGGGTTTTTAATTCCAAAAGCATTTTTCTAGAAATTTGGGTTTTCTTTTGAGCTAAGTTAGATTTTGATACCGTCCTTTGAAAGTTATGCTTAAATTTTATAGAATGGACCTTGCTGAATTCAGGTTTAAATTGACAAAAGTACGATTTTTTTGTTAAAAATTGGTTTTTATGTTCAGTCAAGGTGTATTTTGGCTCCTTCCTCTGAATATTAGACTTGGATTTTGTTGAATAGACCTTCCTGAATCCATACGACTAGTTAGCTTTTTTTGCAGCACGCGCAATTGTTGAGAAAACTGAGATTAAATTCATAAAGTAGGTATTTTTATATCAATTTGGGTTTCCTGTTCTACCATGTTATATTTGAATAAGGAGGAACTATCGAAAACAGAACGTTTTTTTAAAAGAACTATTACGTTTGTAGTATTCCGCTTGATGGTGTACCCGGAATTTATCAAAACCCAAAAATCAGTTGCTTTGATCCTACTCATCTACATTATTACTTATAACCACCCCCCACCCCCCTGAACGGATACGAGCATCGAGTGACAAAAGAAAAACTAGTGATTTGTTCCGGCCTAATTTGTCTTCGAAGCCAACACGACACATTCTTCAGCGTTATATTTGTGCAAAATGAAAATAATCAGTTATGCATTTGATCCTCAAAATCATCCCCAAAGATGAAGACGACAACAACAGTGGCGATAATGAACATGCTGGATGCGAATGAAGAAAAGCATATGTTGACTTCGATGCTCAGAGGTTGCCTTGATCAAGAGAATGTTTTTATGTCAAAATTCAAATTCAAACAGGTAGTTGATCTATCTGCTTCAGGTTGTCTTCATTTTCAGCAAACTTGAGTGTAGAAGAAATCAAGCGTAACTATTCAAATCGACGTATCTGATATGTAAACAATCACTTAAATCGACGATTTGTGGCAACTGCAAGCTCACTTACAGAAACTAACAACACCATCTAGTAGGGGGGGGGGGAATTCTCCTACCTGATGATGGTGTTTGTTTACGTAGGTGAGTTAGCAGTTAAGACAAATCGTCGATTGAAGTGATTGTTTACAAAAGCAGATACGTCGATTTGAATAGTTACGCTTGAAATGATTTTTATCAACTCTGATGCTGAAGTTTCATGTAAATCGGAGAAGGTCTCAGATCGATTCGTCATTTGGCGTGGAACTGCTCTTATGATTTATTTTACTTACGTGATAGCAAACAGTGATTGATTAACAGTACGTTAAATTATCAATCGGATGCGTTTTTTGAGCGAGTTAGTGAGGAAGTGGAAAATTTAAAATGAGCTACGGTATGGCGCACGTGACTACATGAGTACCGTTGTGGTTCAAATTGTATACTCATGTATGCAAAAAAAACATACCATCAACCTGAGTTTCAACAATTATTTTTAAAATCATCTTATCATTAGCGAAACGTGGATGAATGAGTGAAAGATTGAAGATTGGATGCATTATAAGTAAGCGAGTAAGCGATAAACAACGACTTCCATACGGCAGATCACCTCCATTAATGTTAAACAAATGAATAGTGAGAAAGAGTGAGATAAAATTAAAGAAAACAACACCACAGTGTCGCCCTGTTATTTCTGTATTTCATATATAATTGGAATGAAAATGTGACGAATATAAGAAAACTGACAAAAGAAACACTTTATCATGCTACATTCGAGCATTCTGAAAGAAAAAAAAATGAGTTTCGAGGGTAATCGTTATAGGACTATAATCCATTTAAATAAAATATTGTAACCTCTTCTGATTTTCATTGAAGAAAAAAAAATTTCATAAATCCAATTCATCCTGATCATGGATTATCGACTATCGATTGAAAATTTAAAATTGTAAAAAATGTGACAATTGTAAAAAAAAAACAACAAAAGTTTAAAAATACGCACACATGAATTCTACAGTTCCAAGTATTCGGTATAAATAAAAAAAAACGGTCAAGAGATAAAACGGGGGGATAAGAAAATCGGCTAGCACGGATCAAAACACAGGAGATGTCATACAATCAGAACGAACAAAAAAAAATCGGTCCTAAAAACTAAGGAAAAAACCAACACGCTTCTGCGAGGGAAACACATCGACACACCTTCTCTTCTAGTTCAAGGGAAGGTGGTAGTACAAAGCACTACATAGATAGATGTTAGACATCGCACACACTTGCGCACTAGTTTCGCGTTAAATGCAGTCATGGAAGTAGTGGCAGAGCAAAGAGACAACCTAGAGTAGTAGCTTAGTTTCTAAAATATGTAATTAGAAAGTCAATAGATAGGCTATAGAACTAGAGAAGTTCGGATTCTATTGTGTGTATTTGCATTGTTTCATATATCGGGGGGGAACACTGAGGAATGCCCTAAAAAAATCTCATTAAAACCAAAAACCAAAACTTCCTCACACTACACACTAAATGCAATCGTTCCAGATGGGGACAGATCTCCAAAAAAAAAAACCAAACCATGGAAATACTCTAGGCGTGTATTAAGTGAGGTGTAAAAAGGATCTCCCGGAAGGGGTGGGACCGGAGGGATCTTCTAAATGAGACAGAATAATGAAATTAAAACCCAAAACCGGAAAACAAAAACACAAAACAACACCATTTTTGGAACACAATCAAACAAGAGCAGGGTTGGGGTGTTTTTTTTTCTTAGAAAGAGAGAGAGACAGAGAGAAAGGATCCATATCCCGGACAAAAAGCGGTTAGAACACACATACCTGAACTGAACCATGTCGGTCGGCCGGCGTTAGGTTGCCCAGCGTTCCAGTCTGTTTGGGCACGTCCGGCCAAGCGGCGACACCTCCTTTCGAATTCGTCTGCTGCTGCACATGTCGATGTGTGTGAGTGTGGATGATTTCAACGATTATGCGCGCGTGTGTATGTGTGTATGTGTTAGTTGACATATACGCGCGTGTGTGTGTGTGTAGAAGGTGCCCATTATGCAACGTCGAGGTTCGCGAGCCGTCAGGATTTCATTTAATCGATTCGGATTTTGTTTGATTCGGCCGGATATCACACCGTCAAGTCGATTCGACAATTGTCGAAAAACCCGGAAACGGCACAATCGAGAGAAAAAGAGATATATATATATATATAGGAGAGAGAGAGAGAAAAAACATGGAATCAGTATCTGTGTGCTGTAACGACTGATGACGAGGAAAAAGTTTGTTTGGCGGGGGTGGTAAAACTATATCTTCCGAACAAAAAAAAAAGTTATGCAACAACTCTGGAGCGTTACGGGGATTTTCGGGGTCAAACTAGAGGGAAATTTTTAATTAGGGAGATCAACTGGCACTGTCATAAAACTTTTAACAAAACGTGGGGGGTTGTTGGTGGAAAACGAAAGGTTGTGTCCCGGGAGCAGTACTGCGCTTGCAATGGGAAAGTTTCCGTCAAAAGGCAACGATTTTCAATTGCTTTTTTGTGCTTCACTGCGCGTAGCTGTATTGTGTGTTTGTGATGCAGTCAAATTTGTACTGAGGACGGTGATTTCTACTGGAACTGAACATAGGTATCGGAAGATCAAATGCAGTAGGGAAACGAGCATGAACTGTTCTTATTAATTATTTTTTTAACTTAGGAAACTTGCGAGAAATAATTAATAATATTTTGAACAATCAGTCTAGCTTCAGTATACGTAGCTTAGTACTGAGCTTCTAGAAATAGAAATCCTAACCAACTTTTATAATTGAATTAAAAAAATAATGCATACAAAACTGAAATTGGAGACGTATTGGCATTGGCGCGACTTATGAAAAGCTTTTGCTAGTTCTTCAAGAAGTTTATAAACCTTAGCTTTCCGTTTATTGACAAAATCAGGGCTGGTAGCAATCAATGCAGTCAAAAATAGTGATTTTAATGACCATGTTGAAGAAATAAGTGACCAAATAGTGACTTATAGTTGTAAGAAAGTGACTAAAAAGTAACCTAAGGGATGAAAATGAGTCGTTCCTGATGGCATACCAAATAAATGTTTGATATTTTAGACTTTTTCAATTAGATTCTCATAAACACTTAAATATGTACGATAGGAACCTTTAAAGCGAAAGATTCAATAGAAAGTTTATGACTAAACCTCCAAGGTTCTACTACCTGGGAAAACATGAAAAACCGAGAACTCGCAGGGAATTTTATTTTCCTGAAAATACCTGGAAGTATCAGGGAATCTTATCTCTCTTCTTACTAAGAATGCATTTTAAAATAAAAACATTTAATATTCCTAGTTATTTTCATTCACACATTGAACTTTATAGATCCATAATGGATCTTCAGTAACAAATACATAAATTTATAAATTCTGAACTGAAAAGTTATAATACTTCAAAAAATTTTCAAGAATCTGGAGTCATATTCGTTGCACAGTACTAAGGTTCATGGATTTTTATAATAATTTCCAAGGACCTCATTCTACGGGAGTTCTGGGAAAAAAATTATGAGACAAACATCAACTGCAATCTGCTTTCATGGTACTTCTGAGAAAGTTTAGACTTCATGTGAAGCCTAAGCTTAAGATTTTCATGAGAAATCTCCATTGTATATGGAATGGATTAATCTGAGGTCTTCATAACTACTTGAAAGTTTCCGAAATATTCCTGAATTTAATTAAACTGTCTTGAAGTTCTTTGTAGTTTGAGAAGCTAACCTGATGCTCGTAATACTTCTCATAATTTCTTAAGACTTCTCTAAACTTTTTCGGACTTCCTAAAGTTTCCACAATTTTCCTCACGATCATGAATCTTTTCTAAAATGTTAACAATTCACTGAATTTCTCGAAACTCTTTTAAAATTTATGTAATTTCCCTGCTCTGGAATATCTCTGCTCTGAGGATATCCGTTCTTTCTTGAAGTTTTTTTTTTGTTTAGACCTTTATAAGCGAGATCAATATCTTTCTGGAAGTTCTCGGAACTTCTCTAAAGTGTTTGCAGTTCTCATGAAGTTTGTTGTACTACCATGAATTTAATTGAACTGTTCTAAAAATGTTTAAACATGCGTGAACTTTTGGACTTATGTGAAAACCTCAATAATTTTCTCAACAACTCTAAAGTTCTCTGAAAACCTGGGAACTTCTTGAAAATTTCCGCTTATTTAGTGAAACTAATTGAACTGAACTTCCCTGAAATTCCCTTTGTTTTTCGAGCTTTACCAAACTTATTTGAGATGCTCCCGAAATGTCCATAAAAGTTCCAGAAGTTCTCGGATCTTCCCTTAAGTTCCATATACTTTTATGAAGTTCTCGAAATGTTTCGGAAGATCTCTGTACTTCTGTGAAATTTTCGAAGGTTATTCTGAAATTTCAGGAACTTCTTTAGGCTTCGGCTCCGCAGCGAAATAATTAATATAGTTCTAAAATTTTCACTGAAGTTCTCAAGATTTGTCTTGAAACTCATAAAACTCATAAAACTCATAACTTCTTCAACAGTCTATAGTTTCCTGATGTTTTTTAAAAATTGCCCAAAAAATTTCTCAATTTCCTTAAAATTCCCTAGACTGCCCTGCCTTAGCATGTTTTTAAAAGAACCCACCATTTTACTGGAATTCTAGATAGAGCTGGAATTAGGGCGTAACAGCCTTTGTAAACAATGACTTCTACCGATGATTTCTAGGAACTCAAGGCACGCCAATGCAAACCAATATAACCGTCGGGTAGGGAAAGTCTTCCCCTACCCGATAATGTTGTTGATTTGCGTTGGAAGCCTCAACTTTCTAGAAATCATCAAAAGAAGTCATTGTTTACAAAAGCTGGTACGCCCTAATTCCAGCTCTATCTAGAATTGATTTAATTGCCAAATTCTACAATTTTCCTTAAGTTTTATAAAGTTTATAAACGCTCACGGAACGTTGCCTTAAATTACTAATTTTCCCTGCAAGAAGTTTTCTATGCTTACCTTAATTTCTCTAAATTGATCAAATGTTCCGGTAAATTTTCTGATATATATTTATAATTCCCGAAATATCCCATAATTTCAAGGAACTCCTTGTAAGTCGCTGCAAATTAACTTAAGTTAATGGGATTTTTCTGACGTTATCTGATCGTCCTCGAAGTGCTCGGACCTTCACTGAATATAATGAAACAATCAAAAACATCTAAATTTCTTAGAAGTTCTCTGAAATAACTTGAAAATTAATGGAACTTCGTTGATGTTCTCTAATCAACTTAGCTAAATTTCCGAATTTTCTATAGATCTTGAAATTTCCATTATATAACACCCTTGAAATACTCTCACATTTTCCGGATGTTCATATAATTTTTATTGCGTTCCAGACATTTTCTCTAAGCAAACCGAAGTTTCCGGAAATTCCAGTTTCGGCAATTTCCTTGAATTTTTGAACTACCCTTTAATTCTCTGATCTTTCTTCATGTTCTCGGAGTTTTCCTAAAACCGAAGACAACAAATCAAGAAGACTGGCAAATTTGCCAGAATCCAAGCGACAGATACAATGGCGCTGCGCTTGAGTGAAGGTGGAAGCAACGCATAGAAAAATGAGCAAATATACAAACCCTTCTTCTGAGGATGCAATCTTTGCTATCAAATTCGTTCGAAGCATTTACCTTTGAACGGCAGATGACGCGATTGTACCTGTCTCATAGCGTTCGTATGAGAAAATGGAAGAGTTGCTAGTCTTTTTGGTTTGTTGTCTTCGCTAAAACTCTCAACTCTAAGTTCTGTTTTAAAATAAATGGAATTTTCGTTTAAGCTTCCCTTGAATTCTCTGGATTTCTGCGAAGTTCCTGAAATATTTCTGAAGTCTTCATAAATTTTCTGAAGGTTTCTATACTGAATCTCTCGGAACATCTTAAGGGTTCTCGATTTTATTGCAGCACCTCATGGAACGACCCTAAATTTTTCTTAACTCACGCTTATAGATGTTTAAACCAATTCAATAGTCTGGGCTAAAGTTTCGGGGACTTCCCCTTAAGATCTCTGTAATTCCCCAATGATCTTTAGATCTAGCTTTTCTGAGATCAATAGAACTTCATTAAAGTTTCCACATTTTTGATAGTACGAAACGTCAGGACATTAAAAGTGTTGTGATCTTAGACTTACTAAAATGAAGTAAGTGTTCAACTTCAACATTTAATGGATTTGAGCTAAAGCTGTTTCTTTAAAACTGATTGTCACGTTTGCATTAAAAACATATTGTTAACGCATTTCATAAATAGCATTCTAATTATAAACCTGGAAGTTATCCGCCAAAAAACCTGGAAAACTCAGGGAACTTTATTTAGTTAAATGAGTGGACACCCTGTAGATAGAGAAGAACGAATAAACGTAAAAAAATCTCTATACCAGGTCGTCAACTTCGAATTGTTCAAAAATAGAACAAAATATAGGCCTATCCAGAAGAATGATCAATCTTGAAATAAATTCACGTTTAAAAAAGTTTAAAATAGTGACTTATTACAAGAAAAAGTGACTTTAGTGACTTGGCCTTAAATGAGAGACTTTTTAGTGACTGGCTTGAAAAAAGTGAGTCACTAAAAAGTAAAGCGCTACCAGCCCTGCAAAATGTATTCATTCAGTAATACTGAGAACAATTTGATTTCAATGCACATATTTTTTGGGAAGCTTTTATGACTTCTGAAAGAATTCCCCTGATGGCCGCAAAAATTCCTTGAAAAATATATCGATACCGTTTAAAGTGCTTTAGTTAACACACTTAGAAATAATCGCCGACTTCGGTATTTTTATCGAAATCTTAACAGCTGCTCAACAATAGTTTTAAAGCTGCAATAAAACGAAATCTCCACAAAGTTTGACGGAACGTTTAGCCATAAAAAATAACTGAACACGAGTCGTCAATAATTTACGAGTGTGAATG